ATCCCCAAGAAAAAAAAAAAAAAAAAAAAAAACAAAAAAAAACCAAAAAAAACTTCACTTTTATAATTCATAATGCTCAATAGCCATCCAATTGAGGCTGGAACCCACATTCCTAGTTCTTCATAACTTTTTTTCCCAGGTGCTGGGGATTGAATCCAAGGTCTGGCATATGCTAGGCAAGTGCTATACCATCGAGCCCCAGCCCCAGCCCCCATTCTGCAAATCTTATAGAAAAGCATTTTAGACTTTACAGTGGTGTCCACTGGGCAACAACAGAGATGATGATGTTTTCATCATCTATGTCAGCTTCCTTATTTATACTTTCTGTGTGGTCTCAGTGGCTGTTATTGTTATGAGCAGGTGAGGTCTGAGGTTTTTTTCTCCGGACAGGTCAGGTTTTCCCCCTCAGCTTGTGCTGGTGTGGGCAAGCCATGGGTAAAGCCTGGGCTTTGTGTCCTCCTGCTGCCTGTGCAACCTGGTCCCTCCAGCTGGGCTGAGGATTCAAACCTTGGCTGTGTCCTGCCCAGCCTCTCAGTATCTTCCCCAAGGGACACGGGCAGTGTCCACTGTTCACAGCAGCCTATACTTGGGCAAGAGGAATCCCTCCCTCTATCAAGTGCCTCACAGGATCCTGTTCTGTCTACTCCAGCTGCATCTCTCCCTAAGAAAAGAATTCTTTTTTTTTTTTTGGTACCAGGGATCAAACTTGGGACCTTTCACTAGTGAGGCAGGTGATGGAACCACTGAGCTAAATCCCCAATCGCTGGCCCCTAAGAATTCTGTGAAATCAAGGGCTCCTAACTACCCAAGCAGAGCCTCTCCTTCCTCCTTCTAGCCACAATCTCGGTGCCTGGGACCTGCCTGGAGGGTCTGAGTCTGTCCTCCTGAGGACTCAGGGCCAAGGGAGCGGGCGGAACTTGCACAAGCTGGTCAAGACGCCTAGGGCTGTGCGTGCTGGGAACCTTCTCAGGATGGAGCTGGGGTTGGGGGCAGGCTGTGGGTGGGTGCAGGAACCCGGGGAGTCTGAAATTTGAAATTGAAATATGGCCTTCAAAGCTGTTATGAAAGTTTATTTGTCAAGGTAGGAGAATAGTACATATTTTACTTAACAGTTTGTCAATTTAATTTGTAACATTTCCTATCTACACATATGGTGTGTGGGTCTCTCTGTCTGCTCTTGCCCTGGGCTTTGCAACTGTTAGAGCAGGCCTGTTCTTTCTTTCTCTTCTTTTCTACTCATTCCAATCACTTCCTGATTTTCATATCACACCTCAAAAAATATGAAGATGAACTTTATATACAATTAAACACATTGCACCATATGCATACCCATATGGTAGGAACCACCTGGCACCTTTTAAAAAAGAAAGCGGCAGCTCACTGTAGGCTGATGTAGCACAGAGGCCAAGAGAGTGATGACCCAGGGACAGGAGTGAGACACTGAGCAGTGACAGTTTCCTAACACGTGCTGCCCCCACCCCTCACTGATTCTCTAGCCTGCTGAGCACTTCTCAGGGCCCAACACGTGCTGCTCCCTCCCCGCTGAACAGACTCTTTTCCTCTGGTGGGGATGGTGCTGGGGTGGAGCCCACAGCCTCCCTCACGCCGGGAACGTGTCACGGCCTCAGTCCTGCGGAGCCCGTGTTCACCGTGTCTAAGGACCCCTCTGACTCTGCCCGTCCCGCCACGCGTGCCTTTGCTGTTGTTCTTTTCTTCCATGGCATCATCATTTATCATAAACATCGAGTTGTTTCTGCATTCTCTGTCTTTCTTTCCTAGAGTATAAGCAAGAATCTGTTTTGTTCACTGTTGTACCCCCAACACCTAAATTCAGGGCCCTGCATACAATAAGCACTCTATTTTTACCAAATAAACATACATGAGTAAAAGAAATTCTATACCAGATATGTTTATGCTACCAAGAGTATACGTAAGGAATGGATAAAATGATTGTCTGTTAAGGAGAGGAATAGACAGTATTCACTCTTGTGATGCTTGACTTTGTTATTGTATACATATGATACTTACTTTGTGTTTTAGTTTTAGTTTTTTTTTTTTTTGTGGGGTTTGTTTTTTTTTTTTTTTTTTGGTGCAAGGGATCGAATGATACTTATTTTGGTTTTTTGTTGTTGTTGTTGTTTTTGTACCAGGGATTGAACTCTGGTTCTTGCTCTTGCAAGGCAGGCAGTGGAACCACTGAGCTAAATCCCCTGCCCTAATGATACTTATTTTGAAAAAAAAATTTTTTTTTTTAATTTTTTGAGATAGGGTCTCACTATATATTTGAGACTGACCAGGAACTCACATTGTAGCCCAGGCTGGTCTCGAATTCACAGTGATCCTCCTGCCTCAGCCTTCCAAGTGCTAGGATTACAGGCATGAGCCACCATGCCCAGCTTTGAAAATTATTTTTTAAAATTCCATAAACTCATTAATAGACATAAGAATTGAAGAACAGTTGGTTGAACTCCATGATGGAATATTCTATGATAAGAAAAAAACAAATAGTGGTCAAATATGACCACATGGATGGATCTTGCAAATGTGGAGCAAAAAAAAAAGTTGCAAAAGAAAATACTCAAATTCATAAAGACAGAAAGCAGATTAGTGGTTTCCAGAATGGGGGGAAAAGGAATTGGGAGTGATTATTTCATGGATATGGGTTTTTTGAGACAGGGTCTCGCTATGTAGATGAGACTGACCTAGAAGATTCTAATTTAAAATACCCCATATCAGAGCATATCAGGCATGGTAGTGCATGCCTATAATCCTAGCACTTGGGAGGCTAAGGCAGGAGAATCACTGTGAGTTCGAGACCAGCCTGGGCTACATAGACAATGACAGAGACACAAGCTTCCTGCTGTCCCCTGCTGGAGTCCGAGAGGCTGGCTAAGGGCCCTGAACCTGACCAGGAGCTGCAGGAGCTAGAGGCCATCAAGCTTAAGCTGTGGACCATGGAGCAGGCCCAGGGGGCACCAGAGCTGCCCAGCACACAGACCGTGGCCAAAGAGGAAGAAGCCGCCAGGGCTAGGCAGCTGCTGAGTCCTGAGACTGTGGGTGGCCCCTTCCCCATGGCCCCCAGGGAGACGGTGGAGGCCGACCACAGATCCATCTACATGGGCAACATGGACTACAGCAGCACAGCCAAGGAGCTGGAGGCCCACTTCCACCCCTGTGGGGAGGTGCACCGTGTCACTATCCTATGTGAGAAGTTCTCTGGCCACCCCAAGGGCTATGCCTATGTGGAGTTCACCTCCCGGCACTCAGCCCTGGCTGCTGTACAGCTGGATGAGAGCATCTTCCGGGGCCGGTTCATCAAGGTGCTCCCCAAGAGGACCAACTTCTCAGGCATCAGCTCCACGGACCACGGGGGCCTCCGGGGGCACCTGGGCACCAGGGCAGCACCCATCCTATGCAGCAGCCTCCAGGGCAGGCCCCGGTTCCTACCACGTGGGCAGGGCAGGGGACGTAGAAGATTCTCCATGTGGTTCTCACCATACTGAGGCGACATCTGACTCCACGTGGGGTCAGGGCTGGGGCAGGAGTCAACAGCTGTGTCCCCTGGGACCACTTGTTCCAGACAGACTGGGTCTGCAGCCCTGAGTCTCATGGTTGCCCAGTGGGTAGCCCAGCCTGGAGGCCCTGGACAGCTGGGATGGGGACAAGGAGGCCCAGGTGGTGCTGCCAGCCAGGATGGGCCACCTCAGCTCTCCAACTCATGTATTTTAAAGAAAGATACAGACTTCTGTTTTAAGAGTAAAGCATAAATTATTAAATTTGAATGTTTTTAAAAGCAAAAAAAATTAAATTAGAGTCTTCAGAGAAATGGAAACTATAGGGGTTGAGGGTATAGCTCAGTGGTGGGACATTCACCTAATGTACAAGAGGATGAGTTTAATCCCCAGGATTATATATATCATATATACATATGTATATGTATATATATATATACATATATATATATGATATATATATATATGTAATTGGCTTATGGATTATGGAGGCCAAGAGGTCCCATGATCTGCCACCTTCAAGATGAAGAACAGAAGAGCTGGCCATATATTTTAGTCTCATTAGTGGCTGCACAAAATGCCACTGAATCATACACTTCAGAATGGTTAATTGTGTGTTTTAAAATTTTGTCTCAAGTTGAAAATAGGTAGTGCGATACCATTTATGTACAGCTTAAAGCACACCACAAAAGCAGTATTGCGTATTGTTTGAAGACACACAGCCGTGTGATACAAGTATAAAGGAATGTGGGGAAACCAGAAACCCTCAACTCTAGAGAAGGTTTCCTTTGGAGCCTGAGAGGAAATCAAGAATGCAGAGGTTACACAAGGGGCTGCGGCTGGATTAGAAATGTTTTGTTTCTTAAACTGGTCCGTGGGTAGATTGTGGTTTTATGCAGATATTCCTCCTTTAACAATCTACCTGTTTAACAACTGTTCAGACTTGCAGCCTGTCTTTTTTCTTGTACAGTTCTGTACATCTTGCTTATACAGCCTCAGTGTCTTTTTTTGTACATTGTGCTTTGTTTACACAGTGCTTTAATTTTTGCTGATTGAACTAGACAGCACAATACTGTAGTTTTATATTCTGTTGTACATTCCAGTACTGCAGGCAAGGGTTATGGGAATAAAAGCAGTCATCAAATTGGAGTTTCCTTTGGCCATTTCTTTGTTCTGAATATTGTAATGCACATGCTATATACAATCCCTCATGTAACAACCAATTCATTTAACTACCTAGTCGCAGGAACAGAATTCAGTTATTAAATGAGGGATGTCTGTATTATACTTTATACCTTTAGTATGTCTAAAATGTTCTCTAATAGCAATTTGAAACCTCACAAAATTCCAGCCTGAACTTTTCTTTAGGATTCTGCAATGTCGCTGCGTGACCCTGGGCAAATGACTTAACTTTTCTATGCCTCAATTTTCTTTTCTTCTAAATAGTTGTGATAATAAGAGTACTTACATCCTAGATTGTTGAGAGAATTAAATGAGTTATTATTGGAAAAAAGCATAGCTCCCGGTGCGTATGAATTGCTATATTTTGTCTTGCTTTGCTGACTTTAGACAGAATGGCCTGGCTGAGGTATAGTGAGGAGACATTCTCAACTCATGGCTGATCCTTGAAAATGCAAATTTTCAGCACATTTTATGCAGTTTGCCAGTGATAGTGATATAAGGTGTACAGACCAGGCCTCTGTCCCCCAATACCAGGAGTTACCCACAGGACCTTGCCTTGCAAATGGAACGACTTGGTGCCTATTTGAGCCTGGCCCAGAGGTGGTTGCCTGAACATTCCTGTAATGTTTCCCTTTCTGTAACTCTGGGAGCATTACAATTATACCTGTCCCCCTCTGGGTAGCTGTACTATCTTGAGGCCTTGGCCTTCCTCTGGTCTCCCTAGCCTGGGTGTCAGGAAAACCCAGGACGGAGCTTGGCCTGGGGTGGTCAGGAGGGTTTGAGATGAGTGGATTTCTCCCCACTTCTAGACAATCAGGGAAGACAGAAGCCAACTCATTCTCAGGGTCACCCTGGTACCGAGCAGTCAAGAGCTAGCCCTGGAGATTGCTTGCTTGGAACCCTGGACCTACCACTTACTAGCTCTGTGACCTTGTAAGTAACCTTAGCAGTCCCAAGCCTTGCTTCTTACCTGTGAAGTGGGGACAGTACTAGTACCTAGCTCATAAGGTGCTTCATGAGGGTGAAATGAGATACTGCACAGAAAGTGATTGTACAGGGTCTGGCACATAGGGACTGTGCTACACGAATGACACTGGCTGTCCCAGTGTTGCTGTCTGGGGCATTTCTGTTGGACTCTTTCATGCTGGGAGAACCAGGAAGCTGAGTCCCATACACCTGCAACTCTGTTTGCACAGCCCCGCTGTGCAACTGCACTGCGTGCAGTTAAGAGGAAGCTGGGGCCTCCTTTAGACATCAGTTTCCTTTACAATGTTATTGCTGTGCCCACCCTCCCACCCACCTGAGCTGTTTCTGGAACTCTGAAGATCAAAATTTTTCCTGCACTGGCAATTGTTGATTTATGGTTCTGTCCCTATAGGAAGTCTCTGGAGGGCCTCTCCCACCTGAGCAGGGGAAATCTGAGTGATGCACGGTGCCTTTTGTGTGACTAGATCCAGGCCTGGCTGGCTGAAGGCTCAGCAGTGGCTTTTGTGGGCTGCTGTGTGTTCGGGTCCTGCAGGCTATTGGTCTGAGGCAGAGGGAGAGCCCCAGGGCTCAGCTCACCAGGAGCATTCCTGGAAAGTGTGAAAGAAATGAAAAGCTGGATGCTAATTAGAGGTGGTAAAAGCAGGTTTTATTCTGTGCTAATTGTGGCAGAGAAAAAAGTCTTTGGCAAGGAACTATGCTCAGGTGTGGAGATGGAGATGACTTGGTCTTTGATTATTTTTTGTTTGTTTGTTTGTTTGTTTTTTGAGGCAGGGTAGCACTATGTCGTTGAGACTGACCTGGAACTCACTTATGTAGCCCAGGCTGGTCTCAAACTCACAGCGATCCTCCTGCCTCAGCCTCCTGAGTGCTGGGATTACAGGCATGGGACACCATGGCCAGCAACTTGGCCTTTGAAAAGAAGAGTGTGGGGGAGCAAGTGAGGCTCCAGCAAGGTCAGGGAGGTGAAAACTGATAAAAAGTGGCAATTGGTCAATGCCCACATAATCAGGCCATGTGTTCTGCTAGTTGGCTCTTTCTGAAGTTAGATTTGACCCTCGCAGGAGAGACTGGGAGAGGGGGCCCTACACTTCCTGTGACTGCATTTCAGAGGAATGGCTCTCAGGTCCTGAGAAAGACATGGGAGGGCTTTAGCAGATTCGTACATCTCAAAAGGGACAGAGAAAGGATTTACAACTTTAAAATAATGTGTTTTGTGGGGGGCTTTGTGTGTGTGTGTGTGTGTGTGTGTGTGTGTGGTACTAAACCCAGAGCATCATGCAAGTGCTTTTCCATTGAGCTCTATCACCAATCCTTTTTGTTTTATTTTATTTTGTGACAGGATCTTGCTAAGTTGTCCAGGCTGGGTACAAACTTGTTACTTTTCTACCTCACACTATTGAATAGCTTGAATTACAGGTGTGTGACACTAGGCCCAGTTTAAAGTTTTCAAACCAAATGCAAGTCTGGAGCCGATGTCAGATGGTGCCTGGAGAAATAATTTCTTTTGGCGACCGTGAACTTCTCCAAATAGGAGCTCAAAGGGGTCTGGGTCATCCCAGGGACATAGTTGTGGGCCTCTAGATGCCATGTTAGAGTTTTTTCAAGTCTTTGTTTATAGGGAGGTGGTTGAGATCATTTGTGCTGAAAGTTGCGGTTCCCCTAGGCCAAAGTTAAGGCCTAGTGAAGCAGATGTTTCAAAAGAACTGGTCTCAAGTTTGGGTAAGGTGAGCATCTTTCTGAAGGAAATAGTAGAAGTCCAGGAAGTTGTCCTGGCTGAGGTTGTTAGAGGATCAAAAATGAACAATATGCACATGGCCAAAGAAGAATCAGCCAACGTCAGACCCAGTTGGCACCTATAGAAAGAGAGCATTTAAATGTACCAATAAATTTAATGGAAAAAAAAAAAGAGAGAGCAGACAGATAGGTGTGGTGGTTCATGTCTTGCAAGTTAAAGCCCAGTTGGGCAACTTAGTGATTTAGAGAGACCCTATCTCAAAATAAAAAATAAGAACAGGGTTGGGGATGTAACTGAAGCCCTAGATTGAGTTCAATGCCCAGTACAGCCAGAGAGAGAGAGAGAGAGAGAGAGAGAGAGAGAGAGAGAGAGAGAAGAAGAAGAAGAAGGAG